CTCTGATTCTAGCTCACGGGTGTCTCTGTCTTGGGGGGTTCTCTCAATAGCAGGCTTGCCTTTCATCCTCCCTCTTAGGACTTCCCAGTCGCTGGGTCTCAGTGTGCCAGTGTGTGAGCTTTATTGCTCTGGGCGAATATGTGCGTGCTTGTCTTTGTGCCCGGGATCTCTACCTGACACGCTCAGTGGTCTATGAGTACACCGCTGCCTCTTCCTGCACGTGTCCACTTTGGTCCTCTCTAAGGCACTCTGTGTGTAGCTCGCTCGCGCTCGCTCACTCGCTCGCTCACTCGCTCGCTCTCTCTCTCTGTGCTTTCTCCAGGTCTCTGTTCTTTACTCTCATGCTGTGGGTATCATCTCTCACTTTATGGGCCTCTGCGTTTTCCCTCTCTGCAGACCCCTCCTCAGCCTCTGTCTCTCTCTGTTTCTATGTACAGTCGTTGTCCCACCTGCACACCCCCTTCATTCTCCAAGCTTAGAAGAAAACATCCAAACACTTCAGCATCAGCATCCCAAATTTATTCTCCAGCAGCTGCGGCAGGGTGGGAGCGGCAGAGGATGGGGGGTGGAGAGAGTCCCCGAGAGTGGCAGGCAATGGGGTAGGGGTTGGGTTCCAAGCAGGACTGGAGAAGCCATGCAGTGGTGGGTTTAGGATGGGGAGTCTAGGACAAAAGCTGACTGAGAACAGCTGGGGAGAGAATCCTCCATACACCCCAGGAATCCCCAGAGTGTAGAGGAGGGGCACTGGAGCACAGAGACACAGCTTCCCACTTACTCCAGGATGGAGTGGAGGTAGGTGGGGCCTCGGGGGGCGGGGTGGGGGGGGTTGTTCTGAAATCCCAGTCTGAAACAGCCCGCCCCGTGACGCTATTTCCCAGAAATAAGAAAGAAGACGAAGAAGAGGCATGGATTCTACCAAGATGGAGTCTAGAACTCCTTGGAGTTGGGATGGTGTTGGTGGCTCTGTGACTTGGTGGAGCGGAATCCAGAACACTGAGGCAGGTCAGAATCTAGGGCTCAGCCCAGCAGAATCTAGAACACGGTAAGACTCCAGAGATTGTAGGCAGTTTAGAATGCCAGGAACGCTTGGGAGGGGCATCTGGAACCCGGGGCAGGGAGGGGGAGGGCAGAGGCCAGAACGTTGGGGAGCAAGATCTAGAATTGGAGAGGGGGTGGTGAAGTGGGGGGCGCGTGAGGTAGGGGTAAGGCTGGCGCGGCGGAGGGAGCCATGGGGACACCTAGTGGTGGCAGGTGAGATTACATGACTGGCACGGGTGCTGGGCTGATGGGGCTGCGGGCATCCGGGTGCACGAAATCCGGGTTGACATAGGTGAAGCCTTGGAATTCAGTTTGGTCGATGCTGGCCAGAACTAGGCGGTCTGGGGGAGTCAACGCTGGCGCCGCCCGCGTGAAGAACTTGTCGAAGTTCTCGCCGCTGCGGCCACACTGTGGGAAACACCGGGAGGAAAACATGAAGAGCTCGTGGATATTCCACCCTCTAGGGGCCAAGATTTTGTTCCCAGAAGGTGACTGACCGGGCGGGGTCTGAAAGGAGGCGCGATCTCTAATCGTTCCAGCCGTTCCCAGTCGATCCAGCGGAAAAAGCCATGAGCTCGGATGGTGGGTTCTCCATCTGGCCCCGAGCCCAGGCGCTTTGCTGGGTGCTTGGTTAGGAACTGTAGGAAACACAGAGAGAGACGGACAGACAGACAGAGTCCCGGACAGGGAGGCCCAGAGAACGACAGAGAGAGAGGAAGACAAGGAAGGAGGAACAGAGAGACAAGCATAGAGATCCAGAAAGAGCAGAATGGGGGGAGGGGGGGTGGCGGGGCAGGGGGAGATGGGACAGAGATGGGGGGAGGGAGTGGAAAGAAGAAAGGGAGAGAGAAAGAGGAAAAGGGGGAATAAATGAGATGGGGCAGATGAAAGCCAGATCCAGAGACCCAGGGAGAGACAAAGAAAGAAACAAAATTAGGGTGTGGGGGTATGAGGGGTGGAGAAACGGAAACAGAAAGAATCCCAGATGGGGTATGGAGGGAGAGAGGGAAAG